GAATCCTCACACACACACAAAAATCACCATTAACCAGACTTGAGTCTTGTCCCCACTTTACAGAGGAGAAAACTAAGATACACAAAGAGCAAGTGCCTTTTCAAAAGGGAAGGAAGGGAGGGAGGGAGGGAGGAAGGAGGGAGGAAGGGGCGCCCACTTGGCCCAAAATGCCAGAAGCCATAACAAGCAGCAGCTCCTCCTGACCAAGCACCTCAGACCCCCGGAGGAAGTTTAGGAAAACAACGTCTGAGACCATCTCCCCAATGATCAGGGTGCTTAACGACGGGGCGCACGGTGAGGAACGCGTCCTGTGTGCGAACATGGAAGCCTGCACTTACACAGGCCTAACGGTCCCGCCCGCTGCGCCCCGTGGGGCCCGGTGCGGCCTCCTGCATAGCATGTTCTGCACTGAACACAGCAGGCAACTGTCACACAGCGGGAGTGTCTGCGTGTCTAATCGTGGAAAGAGCACGTGTGAGCAGCATAGGTTTCACGCGGGGCACTTACCGTGAGGGCAGCTCTAGGGGCTGGAAGTCCGGCTTGACTGGCTTGGGGTGAGCCCGTGATGGGAGACGGGGTTCAGGAACCAGGGCACCTAGGGAGAGAGCCGGCTTCAGAGAGGAGCCAAGACAGCCCTGCGGACTCCTCCCCCTTCCACCCTCATCTCACCTCTAACCGACAGCCCTGGCATCTTCCCTCTTGACGCCATCACTAAGCGTGGTCCTCTAACACCCCACTCTATGGATCGTGTCTATGGCCTCCTTTTCGTCCTGATTGCCCTCGCTCACGTCTAAATTATTACCAGTCTTCGTATCTATAAATTAAGATAATATATAGGGATCCCCCCCCCACAAAAAAAATGTATATGCACACTTTGAATAATGCGAAAGTGTCTATGGCCTCCTTTTCGTCCTGATTGCCCTCGCTCACGACTAAAGTATTACCAGTCTTCCTATCTATAAATTAAGATAAAATATAGGGTTCCCCCCCACAAAAAAAAATGTATACGCACACTTTGAATAATGCGAAAGGCGGTGTTTATGAAAATACGGTTCACTTTCAAAACTGAACTCTCGGCTGGGGATACATTTTGGGGGACGCCCTGCATGTTTGCTTCAACGTTCCAACCACAGCCACGCTGAGCTCGGATTAGCACAGGGGTTCTCAACCTTGGCTTCACATTAGAATCACCTGGGAATCTTTTTAAAATCCTGATTTCTGCAGGACAATCCATCTTCCTCCATCGGTCCCCTCTCCCCGTACCCCCAAGCACAACGTGAGGGTGCACACACCGTCCCGGGAGAAGGGGAATCCCTGAGGCCTCCGCTCACAATTGATCTCCCCCAGAAGGCTGGTCTCTGCTGCCCGCCCTCCTTAGCTGTTGCAGGCAGAGGCCTGGGGGCCCTGCGGAGCCCAGGGAATGGGGGCAGCTGTGGCCAGCTCCCTCCAGACTCAACCACAGGTCCCACGGCCACCAGACGTCCCTTCTAATCTGCTCGGTCAACAGAAACGGCCAGGACCCAGGGGCTGTGGCTCCTAGCGATGACCTCCCAGCCCAACTTTCTTAGGCTCCCACCTCCCGTTTCACCGGGAAACAACTCCTGTCCTCACAGCAGGTGGCCACGCTCCAGTTGTAACCCGTCCACTCTCTGGCCTCCCCCAGATCTGACCCTTATTTCAAGAACTCACTCATTTCCCACCTGCTCCATGGGCCTCCGCTGACCACCCGGCGTCTCGCCTCCCAACTGAGCCCATCACCTCTTCCCTGGGCATGTGGGATACCTCTTCACATTATTCACTCATCCCCACCACCTGGGTAAGCCAGTGGTTCTCACCCTTGGCTGCACATTAGCCTCACCTGGGAATCTTTTTAAAATCCTGATTTCTACAAGGTTTGGGTCCAGGTGAGCCGCTGGCAAGCTGGAGATGGAAGTTCATCCGAGAACCGTTTTCCACC